CCGGTATAGGGTCCTGAATTTGATCTCTGATACCTGGAGGGAAAAAGACTGTCCCATCCCCAGTCCATCACCTGTCTGTCACTCTTTGTTGCCAGTAAATATGATGTTCTACCGAAACATTTGCAGTTTCTGCTTATAATATAACTGCATGCTTTTTTTCTATAGAAAACCACCATGTTTCAGTGTACAGCAGAAGTACTTTTTGCATGTTTCCTGTTTGATTATATGTAATATTAATAAGATGTGTGAATTTAGTAAAGTTAATAATTTTTATTAATTTACAAAGAAAAATTCTTTATATACTCCAGGCTCCACATGTAAGAGACATGCACTTTACCTCAGAGTCAAAACCTGGTGTCAAAGCTAACATTTAAAGTCAAGCAGACATTGATGAGAAAGAAGCAGTTTTCATTTCTAGGATTTTAATTAAGCTTTTAAAAAATTCAGGCAAAATAATCATTTTACAGGTCTATGTGTCTCCCCAAAGAGCTAATAGTGTACAGATTATTACAAATAGATTGCTTGAGAGGAATAATTTCAACTATTTTTCTACCATGTACAAAGGTACTTGATTCTTGAAAACAATGTAAATGCAGATGAAACGAGTTCTATCCTATCATCCATGTCACAAATTTTCTGAGAATGCAGGGAGACTTCCAAAGAACCCAAGAACATAAATGTTAACAACTCATTTACAGAAACTAAATCAAGATTTAAAATTCCAAAGATAATCTTTGAGCACTAGACAGATTCCATCAGTTAAAGCACTCCTTGTGTTTTTATGCATTTGCTTCATTTGGATGCTAGACCAGCAGTGTTCACCGATTTAACCTGGAGCTTCTATATGCAAAGCATTTGCTCAGCTCCTTGAGTTCTCTCTCTGGCTGTTTAGGGAAGCAGGGTTGCCACATTATGTCCACGTCAAAGTGGCAACAACCCTTCAACCAATATCTGGATGGAATCTGGGTTTCCTGCGTGTGGCACATGCACAGACCATTGGACTCTCTCTCTGATCTTGTTTCTTGCCTTTTTGGCATAGGCCATTCTCTTCAGTGTGAGAGGAAAAGGGGTTTATAGTCTGCAGCACACACACACACACACACACACACACACACACACACACACACATGCTATAAAAAAATCCCTCAAGAAATAATAAAACAGGTATCAGTCTTTCTGTGTTTTTGAAATGTGCTATTGGAACTTCGATAGAAACTGTATTGAATCTATATAATGAAAAACTAAATATTTTACAACTTCTGAAGCGATAGCACAGCGGGTAGGGCGTTCGCCTTACAAGCGGCCAACATGGCCGACCCGAGTTCGATTCCTCCGCCCCTCTCGGAGAGCCCGGCAAGCTACCGAGAGTATTCGATATGCCAGACACAGTAACAACAAAGTCTCCAATGGAGACGTTACTGGGCCCGCTCGAGCAAATCGACAATCAACGGGAGGGCCTTTTTAAAAAACCTGAAAATATAAATATTTTTTGTCACACCTGGCGATGCACAGGGGTTACTCCTGGCTCTGCACTCAGGAATTACCCCTGGTGTTGCTCTGGGGACCATATGGGATGCTGGGAATCGAACCCAGGTTGACTGCGTGCAAGACAAATGCCCTACCCGCTGTGCTCCAGCCCCAAATATAAAATTCTTGGCAAACATGAAAACATATTGTAAAAGGTCATACCCAGACAGACAACAAAAGTCTTTAAAAATTTTATGTCCAAGGGCCAAGGACAAGATGACCCAAATCATCAGATTAGCCCTGCTAAGCATCATTAAGAAAGACCTCTATACAAATTAAAAATAGGGGCTGCAGAGGGTAGGGCATTTTGCATTCACGTGGCTGATGCAGGTTTGATCCCCTGAATCCCATATGATGACCTGAGCAGTGTTAGGAGTTATTCCTGATTGCAGAGCTAGGGTTACTCCTGATCATTGCCTCATTGCCTGGTGTGCCAACCCCCCCCCCCCAATAAAGTAAAAAAAAAATAATAATAATCAAATAAAATTTCATGTGCAACAGATTTGAAAGCAGTCATGTTTAAAATGGAATTATAAGAACTCCTATAAAAAAGTAACGATTAACCATTTAAATAAGGAATTTCATTGTTAACCATTGAAAAATACCCTTCAAACTATATTTTGAATGTTTGGTATTTCATATATTTTAAGGCAAAGTATGTTATAGTAGCACTTGTTAGGCGTACATGTATATATAGTGGCAGAAACTATTCTCTTTATTGCTTACAGAGTTAGAATCACCCCAGATGTCATTCTATTCAAAACCATCTTGATGGAAATAATACTGTAATGTGAGTGTGAGATTACAACCAGTGAGAGAATTAATTTCAGCAAGCATTTTCCTTGACCTTCTAACCCCATTTAACACTACTGCTCATTCCCTTTCTTGAAAAGGCTCCTCTTTGGGTTTCTAGTGACACCTTTCTCGGCTCTCTCTTTTGCCTTGTTGGTACTTTTCTCAGTTTTCTTTTAGCTTCTCATCTCTACCTGCAGATAGCAGACTGTTCAGGTCACGGTCCTGGGGTGGTTCTGTTTTTCTTTCTTTCTTTCTTTTTTTTTAGATTCAGACTTCAAGGATTCAAATCCTGGTTACAATGCTTAGACTTGCTGTAGATGAGACTATACTCTCTGTGCTCCAGTTTCTTAATACATTATTTCCTTAAAATAATTAATAATAATATCTACTCTATGGGGCTGTTAGAAGGATTAAAGAGATAAACTTAAAATTTTTCAAAAGTACCTGCTACATAATAGGCAATGTCTTTTGTTTTTCATATACCTTTTAAGTCATCTTGTCAATTCCCACCCTCCCATGTTCTGATAAATCCTAAATTTAGATTTCTTTTTGGATCTATCTCTCTCTTTTCCTCTTTCCTCCTCTTTTCTCCTCTCCTCTTTTCTCTTCCTCTCCACTCCCACTCTTCTCCTTTCTCCTCCCTTCCCTCCCTTCCTCTCCTTTCCTCTTCTCTTCTCTTTCTCACTACCAAACTCGGTGGCATCAGGAGCTACTCCTGGCTGTGTACTCAAGGGTTACACCCAGGGGTATTCAGGGGACCATGAGGTATTAGGGCTTGAATCTGGGACTCCCACATACAAAATGTGTGCTTAGTTCATTAAACTGTCTTAATGGCACTGTTTATTTTTAATTGACTTGGGGGGCCTCCCCAGGTGCTTGTGGGCACAAGGACTATACCTCATGGTGCCCAGGAGGCCACGTGGTACAGAAAATTGAAGTGAGGTTGTCACCTATATGTACTCCAGTCTTCCACTCACATGTCTGCTTCTAAGCTCAAATGTTATTTTTGGCAGTGGTAGTGAGATTGAGCCACAGCTGGTGGTGCTCAGAGTTTACCCCTGGATTTGTGCTCAGGAATCACTCCTGGCAATATTCAGGGATCATATGTCATGCTGTGGATTAGCTGCATGTGCTGTCCTTAAATTGCCCTGCACTATCTCTCTGGTCCCTTCAAGATTCAAATCTCATGCACATCTGACTACTCAGGTATCTTTGGTTGGATGTCTTTCAGCTACATCATGTGCAAAACTAAAAAAAAAAAATTCAATTGCCAATCTTCCTTTTTCCAAATCTCTCCCCCCATTCCCAATTTGGTCCTTCTATACGTTATTGCATTTGCAAAGAACATTTTAATTTTATTTCATGTATATGCACACCCCTCCTTCTCACACAAAGCTAGACTATTTGGAATGTAATCTTGTCTAACATACTAGTTTATTTTATGAAATATAGACTTTTTTATATCTAAAATGATGAAGAGCCTTTTAGAAATATCTATCAAGGCTCTCTAGAGATAGTAGTAAAGGTGGGATGCTTGCCTCCCACCTTGCGGATGCTTGCGGATGACCTAGTTTCAATCTCCAGCACTCCATATAGCCCCCTGAGCCCCACTAGGAGTAATCCCTGAGTGTAGAACCAGGACTCAGTAAGCCCTGAGCACTGCTGGTGGCTCCTCCCAATGTATTTACTTATTAAATAAGCCCCTTCCGCTTCCCCTAGTAGCTGTCATTGCTGTGATGAGCAGGGGTTGTGCTCATACTGTGATGCTTGTACAGTTTTTCAGCAATGGTACTCATTGGCATTGCATGTCGGGCATGTATGTGCTCGCCCACGGTGCTCACCGAAGTTTTCTCTCCTTCCCGCTGCCATGCCTGTGTCCCTGCTCACCACGGCTCTCCCAACACTTTGGGTTGACACACATGAGTTAGGCTCTGGTGCTCGTAGGCGGGTGCGCTGTATAGTTCACACTTGTGCTTACCAGCGGGTGCAGTTTCTGGCTGTGGCTGTGGTATTTTTTGTTGCAGCGCCTGCTGAGGCTGCACCCCCTGTGTGGCACTTATCACTTGTCTGTGGTGCGGCTGAAAGATGTTTGTGGTGCTGGATTGCAGACAGCAGGTCTGTGAGGCACAGACAGCATTGTACTGAAAATCCTCTAGGACATCAGGGATTTGAATCATGACCATAGACTTGCAGGGCAGCTGGTGCAAGTCCTTGCACTATTTCTCTGGGTGACGAGGAATCTTGAAAAATGTTATTAAGGGACACAGAGATAATAACGCAGACATTAAGACACTTGCCATTCATGCAAGTTCCATCTAGTTGCACCCCAGTCTCCACATCTGATCCCCCTAGCACCATCAGGGTCATTCTTGAACAGTGAGTGCTAGGGGTAGCCCCTGAGCATTGCTGGGTGCGAACCGCCAAACTCAAATATTTTATCAAATTATCCTAGATCAGTGACAAGGTTCATGCAATAGAGCTCATATGTAACACATGTGAGACTCTGAGTTTAATCCCTAGCACTCTGTGGACCCCTAATCACCACTGGGTGTATCCCTGGTGACCCCACTGCATTGCCTTCCTGAGTACCACTGGGGAGCAGACCCCTGACCCCTCAGCACCCTTGAGTGTGGCCCTCATAAAAGTGTCATAATTTATTTTATGGATGTTTGTCCTAGGTTAATCACGCCTACAGACGATGTAGTAGGATTGAGCGTTCGAAGATCCAGATTCTCTTGCAGTTTGCTGCCACTTGGAGGGAGTTGGAGGAATTCATGCCAAGTGAAGCGAGTCAGAAAGACAAAGACTCAACACTAGATGATCATGGTCATTTGTGGAGTTTAAAGAAGCAAAGCAAGAGCACTAATTCCTGTTTGAAAATAAACTTCTGAATTATGGTCACTGGATCTGTGATCTGAAGGTGACACAGTGGGGTGGGAAAGCGTTCTCGGGGTAACAGTGGAGGGTCCTGGCACTCTTGTGGTGTGTAGCAGCACTGTTTAGCAGCACCTCAAGTATTTAAAAGTCAGAAAAGAATAAAGGAAAAAAGGACCGTAGTGGAGAGTTGAGCACATTGGTAGTAAGATCCTGTAACTCTGTACATTAAAACCAAAAATGTCAACACTATTATTACCAGGTTGCCTACAATAAAACTGAAACTTAAAATGAAATAAAGAGTGTTCAAATGAATGTGATTAAAACAAATATTTAAAAGAAATCCAGATTGGGGTTTTTCTTGTTTTCTCTGAGTATCCACTTAAAATGTGTGTTTGTGTGTTTGTGTTTGTGTTTCTTTTTTCAAAGTATGCAAAATTTATTTATGTATCCCCCTTCTTTTAAAAATAAATGGTAGCTTATTGTACACACTTTCTTCAATTGACTTTTTTCTCTTGCCTGTATGCCCTGGAGGTCACTTTTGTAGCAGTCTATAAAAATAGCCCCGTTTCCTTTTATGGCTATACAGTACTCCAGTGAGCAGATGTGGCATTATTTATTCAGTCAGAAGCCTTTTGGTGGCTGTTTAGGTTTTCTAGTTGCATGTGAGCAAATGTTTAACTATCATCACTGTCCAGGGGAAAAATTCTGATTTGAAGTATTTGTAAATTTTGATGCGGATAAACATATCCTGTGACTGATATTAAAGTGGTCAGTTCTACCGTTCTGATACAAGACAAGGAAATTCCCTCGAGTGTAGGTAAAAGAAATGATAATTCAATAACTAGGAAGTGATAAATTAAGGGTATTTATCTTTGCTTTTCTAAATACAGTGAGCTGGCTGGTGCTAGTCAAGCTGTTAGGGACTAGCAGCTTGCATGTAGCTGACCTGGGTTCAATTTCTGGAACCACAGATTGTCCCGGCACCCTATCAGGATTGAGCCCCTAGCAAAGAGCCAGGAGTAAGTTCTGAAAGCAGCTGGGTGTTACCCCAAAGCTCCCCCCACCATAAGTATCCCCCCAAAAAACAAAGAGGCAGACTAGGGGGAGGGACAGAAACTGGGTATATTGGTGGATGGAAGTCAACACTGGTAAAGAGATTGGTCGTTGGAACATTGTATTCTTGAGATTTAATAATGTATCACTTGTAACTGTAATTCATGTTGTCAGGCTGGAGCGATAGCACAGCGGGTAGGGCGTTTACTTTGCATGAGGCCAACCAGCCGACCTGAGTTTGATTCCTCCGCCCTTCTCGGAGAGCCCGGCAAGCTACTGAGAGTATCTTGCCCACATGCCAAAGCCTGGCAAGCTACCCGTGAAGTATTCGATATGCCAAACACAGTAACAACAAGTCTCACAATAATTCATGTTGATTTAATAAAAATAAAATTAAAATTAAAAAATATAGTGAACTTACTTGCAATTTTATATAATTTAATTTTTGCGCAATGACTTTAACAACCAGTTTGCACAATTCCTGAAAATCTACTATTTGAAGCTATAAAAGACAACTCTAGCAACCTCATTGATTACTATTATAAATGATACCATCATGAATAGCGATGTAGGTTGTTAATTTTATTTATGTGTATATATATTTATCAACATATATCTATATATTTGGAGTCCTAATCAGTGATCCTCAGGGGCTACTCCTGATGCAGTGCTCAGGACTCACTTCCTGTAGTGCTCGATAAGCATGAGATTCCCGGGACTGAATCTGGGTCTTCTCCATGCAAGCTTGCACTCAATCCTTTGAACTTTCCCTGGCCCTGTTTATATAGTTCCCAGGGTATATTTGGGGTGGAGTTTTAGAAATGCAGTTAACGAATCAAAGAATAAGTTTTGCTGCAAAAAGACTGTGCCATTTGGCATTCCTACCGTTATTAAATGACCATTTTGCCCAAGTCTTACCAACTGAGCTTGTTACTAAAATTTTGGATTATTCTTTAAATAGATGAGAAGAGTTAACTTATTATAAATCTTATTTTGGAAGGTTGATTATCTTTTTGTGTATGATATTCATTCCTGACACCTTCTTTCTGTCTTCCTCTCAGTACCAAGTATTTTTTCTTTCCTCCTAAACTTCTGTCGGCAACCGCTCTAGTTAAGATTGAAATCCTCTCATCTTTGATTAATTTTGGACTTCCGATTTTGTCTTCCCACTCAACTTTTGTCTTTTCTGACTCATTCTCTACAAACCTGTCAGCATAACCTCTTCGAGTTAGATTTCATTGCCTTCATTGTCATTGTTGCAATAACAAGGGGCCACACACGCATGGCTGTGGTTGCAAATCCACATTACCTGGCAGACTGCATAACAGGTTGTAGAGCTCGCACACTCATTCTCAGTGCTATCTGGGAGTTGAGCTCCTTTAGTTGTTATACTTACCCACGGGTGCTGGAGTGATAGCACAGCAGTAGGGCATTTGCCTTGCGCGTGGCTGGCCCTGCGGAGGTTCAATTTCTCTGCCCCTCTCGGAAGCCCGACAAGGTACCGAGAGTATCTCACCCACCCGACAAAGCATGGCAAGCTCCCTGTGATGTGTTAGATATGCCAAACACAGTAACCACAAGTCTCACAATGGAGACGTTACTGGAGCCCTCTAGAGCAGATCAACGAACAACGGGAGGACAGTGCGGCAGTGCTACAATGCTGCTTGCCCATGGGGAGCTGAGGGTCAAAATCTTTTCATTTTGATGATCTCACACATGCTGGCTGTAGTGCTCATTGGAGATCACTTCTGGTCACAGTGCTTGCAGATCTTTTAGGTTGTGATGGGGTGGCGCCCTTTAGTTGGGTTTGCAGACACTTGCTGCAGTGCAGTGTAGGGCAGTGCAGTGTGACTGGAGGTCGCTCGTGGTGCCTGGAGTCATATACAGCCTAAGTACAAGCATGAACACTCAATGGCCCCATGCTCAACAAATGTGGCAGTCTTCGAGATTAAGCTTGCAGCCTAACACTTGCAAGGCAATTGCAAAACCACTGAGTGATCATCCAGGCTCTGAAAGCAATCTTTTCAACACAAATGTAATCATATAACTCACTTCCTTCTAATGCTTCAGTGGATTCCCACTATACTTTAGGGAAATTTCAAGTTCCAGAAATTGATGGATAGGACCTTGGAGAGAACTTGGTGACAAAAGCACACTAAATTATTAAGGAGAATGGGAAATTTGGCGTAGAAAATGGGAGGAGAAGAGTGATTTTAATTAGCACAAATTAAAAACATTATTGAGGACTGGGTGATAGCTCACAGACCCTGCATGCACAAAACTCTGAGGTTGATCCCCAACACTAATGGCTTCCCTGAGCACTGCCAGGCTTAGCAACGCTGGCCTGTAAGCACTGCTGGGAGGAGCCTTTATTACAAAAGTGTATTTGAGGAGTCAGAGAGATGGCTCGATGGGTTGGAGTGTATACTCGTCATGAGAAAGACCAGGGTTCAATATCCTGGTATGCATGTTGGTTGAAGGTTGAAGTCTATTAAAGCAGATGTGAATTGAGGGAGAGAAAATATAGAAGAGCATTATTTAGGCTTTCAAAGCAATAGGAAGCTAGTAGGACAGGCACCTTATCCTTTTTTTTTTTTTTTTGGAGAAGGGTGGTTTGGGCCACACCCAGCTATCCTCTCTAGGTGAATTTACTAATAATCAATTTTCCATAAACAATCACGAATAGTCATTTCAGTACACTATCAGGAGCAAGACTAGCTTTCACTAAGCTGGTTTTTGTCCCTCCCAACCTCAATCCTCAAAATCCTCTAGAAACTATACGTGGGAAAATCCACATTCTACACCATGAGTGTGACCATTTATAGGACTTGTTGGTTTGAGGTAGTTCAAATCTACATTAGTGTTCAGATTCCCAGTAGCATTAAAAGAATTATTGTCTTCAGGGTACTCATCAAGCAATTTGTATGAAATTTGTAAAGGAAGATTCTAATTTCAGCTAGCAAATTAAATAATTAAATAAAATAGTTAAATAATTAAAAAATAGTTAAATCTGATAACAGTGTGGTTCATTTTATGTAAATCCATATTTATACAGATGCTTTGAGCTATTACATTCTTTTCTTCTCTTTGTTGAGAGGCACCATGGTTTATCTGATTACCAGAGAGTCTGGCATCCATTGGTGCTCTCTAGACGTTGCCGCATAAACTCCATAGTCTTGGAACTGGATAAGGTTACAATTCTAGCTCTTATCATTTTCTAGTTGATAAACGCAGTGAATTATTGAACCTCTAGAGATCCTCAAGTCTTTTCTGTAATATGAGAGAGAAAGAACCCCAACTCTTCCTTTGGTCACATTCCACATTGTTTGCTGGAATGTCTTACTTTGGCACTCAGGTAAAAATGGATGTGATTTTAATTGATATTTATTTATTTTGGGTCCATACCCAGTGGCGCTTCAGGCTTACCCTGGCTCTGCACTGAGGGATCAATCTTGGTGCTGCTCATGGGACTGTCTCTGGTGCTGGGGATCAAACCTGGTAAGGCGATCTCATTACCTGTATTATCATTCCAGCCCCCTGGATTTTTAAAATTCTGAAATAAGTTAGTATTTTTGTTTGCTTACTTTGCAGAACTGTTGTGAAGACTAGGGTGATAGCAATCAAAAGATCTGATATAATGTAGATATGCAGATGTAACAGATTATTATCATGCTAATAACATTGACATTCTCAAAGCAAACCTTTGGATTCAATATTATAAATGCATACGCTCTTTTTTAAGGCTTTTAGTAAGAAAATTACTTCAAGGATGCTATAATTTGTACACATGGATACATTTTAAAGACAACACTGTGATCAATTTTATTTTAAAATGTAACTTATGTTCAGTATAAATATGTTTCTCTAGCATAGTATTATTAGGTGCCCACAAAATGGTAACTGAAGTTCTTAAATGCTCCCCCAAGTTTTATAAACAGAAACTGTTTTTTGGTAACTAGTTCATAGTAAAATTTGACTTGAACTATTTGTAGTATATTTATTTGAATCTTTCACTTCAGGAAAAAATAATAATTGGTCCTCCCACAAATTGCTTAGTAAGGTCAGATTAAGATGAAAGAAATGAGAGAATAATTTCCAAAGAGATATTCAAGCTGTACACAATGCAAAAACACAGTATATGGTACAAATAATTTCTATGTGTTATGCGAAGGTGACAAAAAATAAAAGACTTTAGCTCTCCTTTTTAGAAAGGTCAAAATATTTTTATTGAATGATTCATGTTATGTTCAAATTCAGTACAGACTCCTTAAGGAAGAGAGCAGCTTCTAAGATGAGCTCTGAATTTCCTGTACAAAGAAACGTAGCCCTGATTCTTCAGAATTTTTCTCTCATCAAAGCTGAACCATCAAATAATGAAAGCTCTGAGTCCTGGATGCTTATAACACTTATTACTCCATGAAATGG